CTCTGGAAGTAAAACACATCTCATCATTTGAGGCACACAAAGAATGTAAGAATATATCAATTTACAAATGAGTTTTTTTGTAATTATTTATTTAGATCTTCCATCTAGCCACAATCTTGTTCACATATAGTCTTCAAGAAGCAGGAGTAGCTTCTAGCAGGGAAAGCATAGGCAGGTATTCAGCATAAGATTGTTAGTACTGGGCATGAAGACCAAAGCTATCTGTGCCCACTCTATACAAGCTCTTTGTGGCTCAGCCCGTAAATGCATTGCCTCACTAGTGGGCTGCACGTATGAGCTGAATACATAAGCTCTTCCCCTTGTGCAAAGAAAAAGAAAAATTAAAAAATCAAACATAAGCTCTACATCAGGAAAAAAAGGCAATTAAAAGAAGAGGAATACATGTCTGACATGGACCAGTTCTCTGGTGAAATCAAGATTAAGAGGCATGTTTATGAGCAAAACTAAATCAATATTTTCAAATTGGTTTTTAGTGCAAATCTTAGTTTTACCATTCATAAAATTCAATAGGTAATTACACAACTAAGCAAACGTCCTTAGAGGAAAGTAAAAGAATAATGAATTCCCTACATAATTATTTATAGCTATGTTTTCGAGTGAACACAGTGTAACAGGCATCAAGCCAATATTTAAAGGCAAAAAAACAGATTTGTAAAACCTTAAATATTTCTGTAAGCCAGTCCATAGACTACAGCCTATTTCACAATCTAATCTGCCCTTGCAACACATAAAAATCCCAACAACTCAGGCTGCCTCTGTGATCAATCATTAAGATTTAAAATAAAACCTTGACAAAGACAGGTCCAGAAGCACAACCACAAAATAGGTAATGCTATCAGAACATGCAATTTGCTTAAAATAATGTTCCCGGGAAGCACCATAGTGTTGTGTGCAAAATATTTTGTCTGATCCGTATTTTGAAAAAACCCTTGGGAACAAAATCATTACCAAGCATCAGTCAAAATAGCAACAAGTAGAGATCAGATCCAATTCAGTCTTTCATAACTAACCCTCAGAACAAGCTGCTTATCACTCAAAGCTCAAAAAGATGATGAAAACTATATAACACAATGTCCTTTAGCTCCCTAAAGACAACTGATTAAATTCAGTTAGGAGCTGATTGGAGAGCAATGATGCTTCTGCTTTCCAAATACACGGCTTAATTGCCAATACAACTTCACAACAAAACAGACAGGGAAAAAAAAAGTCCCTCTCCTGCTACTGAAAAGTCAAGAAATAGCTGCTGGCAAGTGAAAGAAAGGCCAAGTTGTTGTTATTTTTTTAAGCTCCAATATCATCAATAAATGGAGACAAAACTAAACAAACAATTTTTTGTAACAAACAAATAGAACATGATCCAAAACATTCTTCTAAAATCTCTTGGGTTTTCTTAATGTCGGAAGGAAAAATTAAAATATTAATCTATATCAATACATAAAATTCCCAGCACAAAGGAGGCTTAACTGGATTGAAAAGAATGGTTTTTTAAATGTGTATATTATATAGAGATGCTCTTGCTCCATTTTAAGGCTTCTTCTATGTACATTAGAAACAATACTGGACAGATTGCTCTGCTCTCTTTCAACACTCTGCAAAACAGATTTAAAAGGAAAAGATCACTGTGCACAGAATTTGCAGAATGCATTTTCTTCTTATACAACAGCAGGAATTTTCAACCAATTGAGTAAAATGTTACTTTGTTCTCTCTCATTCAAATAAAATTAAGTTGGCGTTATTTTTACCACTGTAGCATTTGGTATGCATAGCAGGAAACTTGCCAGGTATATATTGGAGCTAGAGGGGCATATGTCCTTAAGGAAATAATAAAATGCAGACACAACAAAGCTTTATCAATGTAAGCAATAGACAGTAAGTCTCTCCCTCCTGTAGCAGCTCTAACTTAAATGCCCAGCAACTCTGTAGGTGCAAAAGACTGAATCCTGTATCTTTGCTCTTGCCAAATACCTCCTCTGACTTCAACATACATAACATTTCTTTAGGATTAGGCATATTTGTCTCTTTTATCCAGCGCCAATACATTTCTCTGTTAGGAAATATCCACTTCCCACTGATGCTGATGACAATCTGCATACCTTTCACAGCTCTCCCAGTTTAAGGACAGGTCAGCTAAATATTACGCAAAAGCACCTTCCAAACATTCTTTCTTCTTTATGAAGAATGTAGACAGATCTTAGTGATAAATGTTCAAGACAATCCAAGGATTCTTTCTCGAGTGCAGAAGGGAGTACTTGTAGAGATGCACACAAAAGGTGCGGGACAAGTTAACAAGTAAACGGGAACGGAGATGACAGGAACCAATGGGGGGAAATGAGGTTGGAGGGAAAAAAGGCAGTTACAAACATCACAAGTATTGTTGAAACAAACAGGTTGTGTGTATCCCATGTCTGCATTAAAACAAGTGCCAAATAAATCCACAAATCACTTTTATGCAAAAACTCACTTCCTGGTTTTAAGACAGAACTGAAACAAAATAACAGAAAATAAAGGGTCCATCATTGATTATACTGGGTTTGAATTCATTTATCCTCTCTGCTTTTCTGCCACTTTCATCTATCTTGGGAGAAACACATTTTCTCCTGCAAATAAATGATTATTGCAAAACAATTCTGTTCATTTATACCAGGCAAAATATCCCCCAAGACAGACAGGAACAAGCAATGTGTAGCACCAAGGTAGTTTCTGGGAAGGACAGAGCAGCTGAGCCCAAAAATGACTGCACCCATTTTGTTTAATATCTGGGACACTGGGCATCCTGGTCGTCTTGGCAGCAATTCTTTATTACTGCAAGAGAAACAAAGCTGTCCCAGGAAAAGAATCAGAGCAAGAAAGCCTGTTGAAGATGTAGCCAAACTCTGAAATAAACCTCCCAGAAGTAACTGTGAAGAGACATTTCTCTCATACATCTACTACAACTTGAACAGCTCTGCCTGCACATTACTTGCTTGGAATGTTTTGTGGGGATTTTTTAAAATTTATTCTGGACAATGTCACATAACATATTTATTCATTAATTCATTTATTCATTAACATCTCTTCATTATCTTCAGTGACAATAACATCGCAAGACTGAGTTTCTCTTCAGCAATCTATGAAATCTCTGATTTTTCGCAGAAGCCTACTCACCTTTCAATCATTGGTATTATGTCACTAAAGTAATTACTAAATTTGGATTTATTTCATGGAAATATATAAATCTCTTCTGTAAAAATCAACACTTGAGGAAGTCACACTCCATGTTCCCTTTAGAGACTTCGGAAAGATACAGGCACACTTAGACTATAGCTCACCAACCCTGCTTTATACATCTGTTTTAAAGATTTGATAAATCATGCCTCAACAGTCTTTAGAGACAGTCAGATCTCCATTGACTACAGGAGTCCACCTCAACATCTCTATATTATTTGATGATCCACCTCCTTGTGCTACACATCCTCTTTGCCCCGTTCCCCCTCATGACAACAAGAGGAGATAAACTTGAGACCAACTTCAGATTTCATTTAGATAAACAAGAAAGGCAAAGAAAGAAGCATGTGCAGCTGGTGTAAAATAAACACTCATACTCTGCTAAAAATGTTCCAGGCTGAATGCAACATCCACGAGGAGCTAAGTTAAACAGCAACACAGAATTCCTCACAAAGATTCCTTGGAACGGGGAGATCCTGTTGCTGCTCCCAAACACAACTTGGACTGTTTTTTTCAGAGTATTTTAAGACAGGACAAAATGTCACAAATAAGTAATTTACTTGATCTGGGGTTTATACCTTGATATTGTTTACTGCCACTGAGAAATTACCGTGACCAATTAATACTTCATGCCTATGTCTAACCGACACTGAAATGCAATAGGGGCCTGACTTTATCAAATCCACAGGCTGTCACAAAACCTATCAACATGGTTACACCGGGACAAAGTAGAATTTTACAAACAGAAGATGTGTACTGATACAACCAATGCAACAACAGTGGAGATGCAGTTTTGAGATGAAGGAACATGCGTAACAAGCAAGTAGAGAAGGAGGTGTGATGCCCGCTTATGGTTAAACCAAAAACTCTACTATGAAAGCTCCTAAATTCAAGAACCCCTCTGAAAAAGATGGCAAAGTCTGTATTCATAATACCATGACTTAAATCAACAGGACATGAAGAACTGTATTTTGGACTCTGCACAGGCTCAGTCACTGTGATGCTCCGCGTATCATTTTTGCTCTCCAAGTTGTTTACGACCACAGGCACATCAAAACACACACTCCCTCCCCAAAAGCATAGTCTCAGTAGCACCATTCTTCAGCCAAAGACCACACTGGGCTCTGGATACCCTCCCAGATACCTCTGTCAGCCAGATTGAGCTGTCTCCAAGCACCCACAGTGGGCTGGGATCCCCATGAGGTTCCATTTGGATCTCTCCTTCTGAGGGAGAGACACGCAGACACCAGCCATGGGAGTCTACAATACCGCCCCATCTTTGACAGGCTTTTTTCAGCATCAGTGCAATGGGGACAAATGTTGCCAGGGATTTCCCCTCCAAACTATGCCTCAAAATAACACTGGGATGTGGGAGGAAAGCAACTAGGTTAACAGTGCCTCACACAGGACTATTTTAAGTAGGAAAACCCTGAGGATTGATAGGGTTTTGATTCTTTCTTCCAAATGTTGCCACTTTAGGCACTCCCATCAGACTGCCTCCTCCTCCAGCTTTAATCACCTGATGGAATTAGAGTAACAAAAATAAGGAAAACTACTATACATGGAAATGAATGAGAAATGAAAAAGTATTTTCCTGCCAAGACCAAAACAATAGCAACCAAATATTTTTCATTGTGCTGGGACAGGCTTCTGCTATTTCTCAGGCTACAGCGTCACTCTTCGATTTGACAATTTCCAAAAAAACAAAAAAAAAAATTACTTGAACATTTACATCAGTAAATCATCCAGTCTTTCAGAAGCTGAAAAACCCATACCTGGCGTACAAAACTGTTAGAGGTAGTGTCAGAAGATGTACTCCCATCTGATCCTTTAAATCGGTTTTTCCTTCTCGCCCCTTTACCATAAGACTGTAAAAAATAAAAGAAAACAAAAACAACCACAGATTAGAGGAACAGCATTACAGCATTAAAGCATCAGTTTGTCTCACACAGAAAGCTTTCAGTGTCTCCTAGGCAAGCAAGGATTCAGACTATCAGCTTTATGACAATCAATAAGCAAATTTTCAATAAGTAACTGATGGGATGTGAGCAAGTGCTTGCCAGGTTTGGTCAATTGAGCCTTAAATGCTTTGCTGTTTTTGGTTTTCTTCACATTGGGGTTTGGAAAAGCATTTATAGACTTGTATAGATGTAGAATTATTCACTCAAGTCACAGTGATTAAAAAGCACAGTTTGTTTTGCAGCTAGTTTAAATAAACAAGGTAGGAAAGGAGATACTAAAAAACAGCTAGTTTAAATAAACAAGGTAGGAAAGGAGATACTGGAACAGTCTCCAATATACCACAGCAATGAGCCAAGTCAGCTGAGGGAACACTAAACAGCAAGAAGTGACCAACAACTTGTTGATTGAGATACAATCTTATAACCCAGGGAGAGTTTACAATAATGTTTTTTTTAAAAACTTGAAGAAAGTAAAAGTAGAATAACAATAAAAAAAGGAACACAGGTGTAACTAGAAAAGGAATAAATGCAGCTGAAAAGCAAGGCATCATTTTTATCTATGAGGAAGTTAAAAAGACATTAGGAGAAAGCTATGGTTTGCTTAAGCAAAAATTTAAAACCATAGTTTAGAAATATAGTAAACATGTGTTTGTGTCCCTCCCCCCAAAAAACCCCTATTTGTTCTGTGTATTGAATATTGATCATCAATAAATATAATTAAAATAAATTTTAAAAATGTAAAAGAATTCAAAACTATGTTATTTGCAAACACTTATTTATGTGGTGACTGTAAACTGTGCCATGACACCACCTCTGACCAGGGCATCCTCCCAGGTATAGAAAAGTCTCACAGATTTGTTCTGCAGAATGACATTACAACACAGACCTTCTCATGCTAGTCCAATCATTTAAGTTCATCTAAACTTACAATAAAATTATGTCTTGACTATTTAAAACACTATTTTCCTTGAGGCTGATAAATACAATTTTTTTCCTCACTCATCGTGCTGCTGTAAAGGTCATTTTACTAATCCATCTCTCTGGATCATGTCTCCTCTCTTTTAATACCTCCCACAGTTCCCTGAAATAAACAAGGTCTTTGTCTTCTCTTTCAAGGTCTATGTTGGCCTATTCCCAGTCTTACCTCTCACCCTGCATTCAGCACCCAACTTTCGAATTCCACAATAACTCAGGGGAATAAAACCAAAACAACACAAAACCAAGCACCAGCCTCCATCACCAACATGCTAAATTTTCAGAAAGTAATTTCATATCCTCTCCCATAATACTTTGCAGTCCTTCTCCCAGGGACAAAAATTCCTTTACAGAAATCTTGTTGTTCTCCTTTAAATATATAACAAAAAAAAACCCTTAGTGTATCTCAAAATATCATACTAATAAAGGAGATTATTTATCCACTACTACTTCCTAGGATCCCAAGTCCATGCATCCACATCCTGCTGTTGACTTTGGTCATAAGCTGCTCTCGGTCTCAGGTTTAGACACAATGAGAAAATTATGATCAGCTTACTGGAGAACATGGCTGTGCATGCATTACAGCACAGAACTCCTGATAACCTGGCCCTAATACAGCAAACCCTGGGATAAAACCCTGCCTGGTGCATAAGGTGTGTCCTTCTTCCCTGGGCCTGAGCAGTCTTCAGAGCACCATGCTAAGCTTTGGGCCTGAGTCCTCCGGTTCTCATGGTAGGGAAGGATGGGCTCAGAGAGACGCTTAAAATCTCATACTGGCAGATTTTTCAGATAATGACTTCAAAATCTGAACTGTTGTTCTTAGCAGTAGTAAGTATGGTAAATATGATGAAATATTTTGCAATTTAAGAGTAACTGAGGAGGACAACATATAGTCACTACAAACGTCAGACCATTTGACAAATCCAGGTAACTTGCCTCCATGAGATGCAAGAGAACAATATCAAGTTGTATCTGGATCATAAATGTTGGGTCTGGGCAAGTTTGGAGCACTGGTTGAAACAGAACATACCAATCTTTTAGAAAGGATGTCTCAAGCAACAATAGTTCTGTTAGCCTGACACTCTCAGTAAAAATAATATCTGTTATGTCACTGACCTAACAATGACCTACAACAACAGCAATGCTTTATCCCTAAAAATACAACTTTATGGGAAAGATATTTTGCCAAGCTCATATGATTTTTTCAAAACTGTAAAACAGCCACGTAAGAAATTTCTGAAAGGCACACAAATTGATTCTACACATGCTGGTTAGGGCGGAATCATAGGAAGATCAGCATGTTACTTTCTGCAGAGTCTAGAACTGTAACCCAGCAGGTCTCAAAATGTAAAATTAAATTTCAATGAGGAATAGTTTTACAGGATTGCATTTCTAAAAGAAATCTTTGATAATAGAAGAACTTTTTGATAATAGAAAGGTCTTCATAGATCAATAAGAATACAAAGTAGGTTGAAACCACCATTACCAGCAAATTCTTCAAAATATTTTCCAGTTACGGTTAGAATAGACAGTTCTATCAGAACCATCTTTTTTCGCATAATATAATAAAATATTTCACCTAATATAATATATTATTAAAGTACCTAAAATACATTAAAAGTATCTTTAATAGCAGTAGTTCCCACATACAACAACATCTTAAAATCAAAATTAACTCTTAAAAATGGTTCTTATTGAGGTAACTGACTTTGGTCACCCACAAACATTCTGAACTCCCTTTCTACAATTTTTGTGGAAGTAAATAGAAATGTACTAGGGAAAAAAAAACAAAGAATTTTTAACATTCACAAAGGAGCTCAAGAACATAAAGCATTCATATAAACATCACACTATACAGGCAATTTCGTAAATGGTGTATAGTATTGTGTGATTCCCAAGGAGATACTAGAAAAAATGTACACATATTCTCTTTCATGTTTTGTTTGTATTTGTCCCCAGTTTATACAATATTATTTTATTTAAAGTGTCATAGTGTTCACTTTTATAACTCAAAAAATTATGACAAAGGCAAAAGAGGGACTGAGTCTAGAGTGATGAGGACAAAACAAAGAGCAGAATAAAACCGTGTTACAAACAGAGATAAAATGCACACCTCTCTATCTGCATAGCAATGACTAAAAGCATTTATTTCTGGAAACATCACACAGCAAATGCAACTTACACTGAAACTCACCTTGATTTTTCAGTTTGAGAAGGTTTTTTTTTGCATGGTAGAACATATGTTTTTGTTCTAGTCTTCTATAAATGGAAACTATTCAGAAGCACAAGCTAAATACTGACCTTAAATACAAAAAACTGTTGACATGATGGCAGGCTGTGGCTGCAGAGTGTAGACAAAGTCAGTTTTACACCTGCTTCTTTGCACAGACTGATTCTCAGTCAGAGGAAAGGGAGACAACTTTGGCACAAGAGAAAACTGGGATTTGATGACTCCTTTCATTATTTTAAAAGCATGCTAATCAGGGACTACATTTGTCTTCTATGTCTTTCAAGCTTATTCCCACAGTCAAAAATGCATGAAACTGTCTTCTGAAAATAAGTCTTCCGTAAACAAAACAGTCATATATTTTTAAAACTTATTAACTATCTCATCCTGTCACAGTCGTTATGTTTTGCTTTTTTAAGTGTACTTTTTTTTCCATAAGAGCTTGATGTGAGAACAAGACCTCTGTACAACAACAACAAAAATCTACCAGTTATTTTCAATTTTGGAAATAAAAAAAAAAGAATTTCTTTTAACAATTAAGCCAATATGTTACTGTGATTTTTATATTAAAATTAGCTGCCTTATCTGTGTTCTGTTCAGCAGTTGGCTGCAATTTAGTAACTAAAAATAAAGGGCTGAATCATGATGCGTGGACATTGGCCAATAAAAGCAATAACACAAGGCAATTGTTCTTAATCTATATGGTACCCAGCAGACAACCATTGGAGACCAAATGCTTCCGTACCCCAGTATACAGTGCCCGATGGTAACAATCCCAACACCCAGCAGAGGCGGGTGCCTATGGCAAACCAGTATTTGCCCCAGCTAATTTGAATTCAACTGACTCCAGTCCTGCAAAGAAGCCTGTTCATATAAAAACTTTGCTGACAGGAACATTCTCACTGGATTTTAGCAAAACATCTTACACAAACATAAAGTTATGTATGCATTTAAGTGTTTACAAGATCAAAACTGTAGCTTGGTTTATTAGTCAGATTTGTGAAATTCTTTTAAAATTGTCTGAGCTGCCAGAGACAAGAAACAAAACACACACATTTATGTTCTACAGCTTCTCAAAATACCTGGCAAACAATGTGAAACCTCACAGGAAAAAAAAAAAAATAAAAAAAATCAAAGTAACTTTGTAAAAAAAAAACATTTCATCAACAAAGTCTTTAGAAAGCAAAGTCTCTGCTTTCCAACTCTGACTAGAAAGTACATTGTGCAATCATTATTCAACCCATGTAATCAAATTAAATATGGGAATCATATGAAGCGTTAAAGGCATACCTAGCAGTTTTCAGATAATTAACAGTTTTATATACATTTACTCATTATTGCAAACAGATGAGATCAATGTCACTCAGTGAAACCCTTTCATACTAATGAGGTCCTGCCTCAACACATGAAATCATGCATCTATAACATTTAATCCTCTAACACACATGACAAGCAGAAGGCATGGTTTATCCCTGTAGGCAAAATACTATCATCTGGAAGACGAAATATAAAACATTTAAAATTACCAACTATCTACATCCAGGGAACTGATCTTCAGCAAGAATTTTAAAATGCCCTTCACCAGTAACCACTCTCATGGTATTTTATATTAAAGTAGAGTGAGCCTGAACCCTTACTGTTTATTATAGGTAAAATAGCTCCTTAAAAAATATCTTACTGTTCTCATTCCAAGAATGATGAAAAG